CTTTTTTATTTTATTTTATTTTGTTTTTGTCTTTTTGAGACAGGGTCTCACTATGCACTTCAGGCTGGCCTTGAGCTCACTATGTAGCCCAGGCTGGTCTTGAACTCGCAATGATCCTCCTGCCTCAGCCTCCTGAGTGCTGGGATTACAGGCATGCACCACCACGCCCGGCTTTCCATTTTGGTTTGGTTTGGTCTGTTGCAGCCTAGTGAAGGAGCCTAGGCCAAAACAATGACCTCTCATAAATTTTGTTGGAGTACATGTATTTAACTGAAACAAGAACTAAGAGTTGATTAGTTTGTTGTTTCCCTTTCTTCCCTTTTTTTCTTTTTTTTTTTTTTCTGAGACAAGGTCATGCTATGTAGTTCAGATTTTTTTCTGAGACAAGGTCTTGCTATGTAGTTCAGACTAGCCTTGGACTCATGACAAACCTCCTGTTTCAGCTTCCTGAGTGCTAGCATTATAGGCATGCAACACCACACCCGGCTCCCTTCTTGACCTGATATCCCCACCTAATAGAGGGTTGCCACTACTTAGAGCATTGTTTAGTTCAGAGGGCCCATCTGCTCCCTAATCATGGGTGACTACTAGCAATGCAGATTCCTGATTCTGCTTCAGGATTTTTTTTTTTTTTTTGTCATTTGAGACAGGGTCTCATTATGTAGTTCAGACTGGTTTTGAACTCACTATGTAGCCCAGGCTGGCCTCAAACTCACAGCGATCCCCCTGCCTCAGCCTCTCAAATACTGGAATTATATGTGTGTGCTACCTGCCTAGCTTCCACTCCAGATGTAATAATGAGAATCTTACTAGAAACGCTCCATTTCCCACCTCCATCTCCTGTGCCCCATCCCCTAGTAATTCTGAGGCCGGATGAGCTTGAAAGGCCCAGCCTGGGAGTTTATGAGTATCCTGGACGTGGTGAAGGTGCGTGTCCTGCACGGCTCGCTACTTGTTTCAGGAAGGTGCTGATTCTCCAGCTCTAGCTCACCTCACCACAACAGCAATGGAACAGATGAACTCAACTTTCTAAAAGCAAATCCATTCCCATCATGTCCCTTTGAATTTCCTAGTCCCTCTGCCTGGGAACATGTTTGGTGATTTCGCTGTGACTTCCCAGACTTAGCCCTCCTAGCGCCACTGACTGCCCCAGGGCCACACCCGAGGAAGGGGCCCGGCTTTTCTCAGGGACCTTATCCCTTTTCCTCCTCCAGTCCACCATAGCTTTCTCATCCTAAGGGAAAAAAATCCAAAGTAATCTCTAATTACCATGGCCCATTTCCATTCCTAACCCCAGAGGAGGGCAGACACTGTTATGAGGCCATCACCCTCCCACTGGGATACCCTGAAAGGCTTCTTTCGATACCAGGACCACTGCAAGGCCTCTCTAAAGAACCTCACACAGTTTACATTCCCAAACCTGCCACAAGTATACTGACAGGTCCTACCATGTATAATGAAATCACTTATTCACAAGTGTATGTCAAAGCAAGCATTTTGCAAATAAGATCTCATTTCATTCTTGACACAGTGCTTTAACAGAAACAGGCTTTTTTCTCCGGTACCGGGAACCGAACTCACACCCTTGCACTTGCCAGGCAGGTGCTTTTGCCACTGAGCTAAATCCCCAGCCCTGACACAGTGCTCTAAACTGGGTAATATTATTATCACTCCCACTGCAAATGTCAGAAAATTGATTTGTTGTTGTTGCTGTTTGAGGCAGGGCCTTGCTATGTAGTTCAAACTGGCCTTGAACTCAAACTAATCCTTCTGCCTCAGCCTCCCAAGTGTGAGGATTATGGGCATGCGCCACCACAACCAGTGAAATTGGGAAACTGAGACCAGAAGGACCAAGTAACCTGGCCTAAGTCCCAAAGCCGTAAGTGATACGTATATGTATGATGAAACGTATAACACAACATCCCCTGCTGTATGGTGTCTGGCCACATGGATAATATTTGTCTTTGTAGGGTGGCAAAGTGTCCATTCTGGAAGATGACACCACTTAGTACTGCTCTGGGTGGTTTCCAGGCTGTCAGCTGCCCTTGCTCCTTTGGGGCTAAAGCCTAGGGCCTTCAAGAGGAAGGGTTCTTTGGCTTTGTGTAATGGTAGTTTAGGGGAGCCTCAGGGTAGAAGAGTCTGAGCCCCCAGGAGTCTCAAAGATGTGAGAGATTTTTCCCCAGGTTTTGTGGCCAACTGTCCCCAGATGGGCTGCACCCAGAATCCACCCAAACAGGCCTGGGTCCTGGCCCCTTTGGCTGAGTTTGCTCAACTCTCTGCCAAGACCTTCTTAGGAGGTGTGTTGGTTTGGGGGGTTATTTTGCAAGGGAAAACAATATAATACAGAACACATAGTTTATGAGATTATTTATAATAGTCACCCAAAGAATGATATACAAGAGAGTGCAGGAAATCTGTCCACATACTATAGACCAAGAAGTCTAGCTGAAGGCCTGGATCCCATGGGAATGTCTTGCATGAGTCCAGCTGAAGACCTAGAGCTCATAACAATGCCTCCCACAAGTCCACCTGGAGGCCCAGAGCCCATAACAATATCTCATGCAGCACTGTTTTCTGGATCTGTGCTGTGAATGCCCAAAGGTTAGTGGTGGAATCTAGGAAGTCTGTGCCAGCGGGATGAAGGATCTGTGCTAGCAGGCTGAGGGATCTGCACTGGAGCCAGGAAGCGACACTCAGAAGAACCAGAGCTCCCACGAAAGGTACCACAGCCATCCTCAGCAACAGTGAGGTCCCGAGCTCCCCTGATGATCAAGATGGCCGAGTTACCGTCAAGGAAGCCAATGCAGCAAGCTTCTCCAGGAGACCGGCAGGGCACCATCTTCCCCTGTGGAGCCAGGAAGTGATGCTCAAAGTGAGGACTAGAGCTCCCCCAAAGTGAACCAAAGCCATTCTCAGTGCCAGTGAGATCCGGAGCTCCTTGGAGGATGAAAACAGTGAAGTTGGGCTGGGGATTTAGCTCAGCGGCAAAGCGCCTGCCTGGCAAGCGCAAGGTTGTGAGTTCGGTTCCTGGTACCGGAGGAAAAAACAAACAAACAAACAAACAAAAAAAAAAACAGTGAAGTTCAGGGCAGGGATATAGCTCAGTGGCATAAGCGCTTGCCTGGCAAGCCTAAGGTCATGAGTTTGATTTCCGGTACCTAAATAGATAGATAGATAGATAGATAGATAGATAGATAGAAAGAAAACAGTCAAGCTCATCAGGAAAGCCGGCATGAGGAGCTCCTCCAAAAGAACCAACAGCTCCTTACATCTTCTATCAGCTCCCAACAGCCTCTCTCAGCTCCCAACAGCCTCACTTCTTCTCCAGTTCTGCCTCCTATGCTGCTGGCAACAGTCCTCAGGTGGGCCTCCCACAGCCAGCATCATGCTTATTCAGTTCAGCTGGATTTTACAAGTGGCCCACCAGTTGTCAATCCACTACAGGACGAGTTTGGGTTTGGGGAGCAGTGCCTTCCTTGTAGCCCCAGACTGGGTTTCAATCTTGACATAAGGGGACCTGGGGAAAACCCCCAAAATAGTTCAGGTCCATATTAGCCTGTCTTTCTGGAAAGAGTGAGTAGGCTTATTCTCCCACACTCTTATTCACAAGTCAACTTTCTTCACAATAAACATACATTACTTTTCCATAGTGCTAATTCAAAATAAAAAACCTTCAAACATTCAAATTCAGAAAATTTGGGTGCAAATACTGTAGTTTGGGAAAACCAGCCTCAATCTGCAGCTTCAAAACTTATCACTAAGGGCTAGGGATGTAGCTCAGGGTACAGTGCCTACCTAGTGTACAAGAGGCCCTGGGTTTGATCCCCAGCATTAAAAAAATAAATAAAAAAAAATATA